CAGCATGTTTCCAGGTGCAGAGTGTCCTAAGCTCTGATATTCTAAACATAGTGCCCAAGGACATAACACTCCCTTGAAGCACTGGAATGTAACCAGACATGTAGGCTCCTTGCTAAGCCTGCTCCCACCAGCTGCATTGTCTATTGATAAGCATATGCTTTTAGCTCGTGAGAAACTCACATAAACCGCCACTGCTATCAATTTTATGTTTGATGCACAGCCTCCCTTCACCGATTCACCCTGCCACCTGCACTACAGATAAAAGTGATTGTGTTCAATAAATATTGTGGAAACCAGAGTTCAGGGCCTTCACTGCCTCCAGTACAAAGTGATGGTCCCCTGGTCCCACTTTCATTCTTAATGTCTTCTCATTCCTTTGTTGCCACAGAACTCAGGGTACCCACGGGTGGGGTGTGGGGGCTGGTTCCCTACATTCTGGTGCCCAAATGTGGGGCTAGAGAATTTTGGTGAAGGAACGCCTGAGCGTGGTAAAGTGGAGGAACAACGGACAAAGGACTCTAGAGAACAAAACTAATCAGCACTACGCGTGAGTAGATGCGCTTGGAAGGATAGGATACCAGGTAAAAATGGGAAAAGCTGAAAGCAAGTATGTTACTTACTCACTTTTAGTGAAGCACCTCTTTAGAAGTGGGGGAGTTAAAATTAGTACTAGCCGCTGGCTCTATCAGTTGTTTTCAATGAATCTGTGCTTTCTTACTCCGTTCTTCTATTGCTTTCTTTGTCTTTCATTGCTTTATAAAGAAGGAGCTGGGGAAGAAGGAGACTATAACTGGGATAAGAAAATTAAAGATAACCCAGTTAAGAAAAAAGAAAAAATAAATGAGGAGAAAAGAGTCTGTCAGCCCCTTCTCTGTATTTTATCAAAGAGTGGCCAGATCAGCCTGACATTCCTCCGTTACAGGAATCAAAAGCCGTTTCAAAAGTGAAACTTGCTGCTCTAGCAGCGGCGTTCAAGCCAAAAGGCTCAGCCCAAGGCCAGCAGAGGCTTCCCTGGTGCAAGGAAGGAGCAGCAAGCTCGAAACACAGGCAGAAAACTGTCAGCAGCAAGCAGCAGCTGGGCGGGTCCGGGTCCAAGTGCCTGTGCGCTGTGCTCTGCAGGTTTCCTGCAGTAAAATTTTATGTGTTCTTTGTAGACAAGTAGCATCAAAATTGTAATTCTCTGCTAAGGTTTAAGTAAAATTTAAATTCTAATAATAACTACTCTGTTATCTCTAAGGTAGCTTTTAACATCCAATTTAAGTAAAATTAGCTAGCCCATAAATTAAAAAGGAACAATTAAAAGTGAGACATATAACTTTGCTCCTCAGTAGAAAAGAATTTCCTAATTAACTGATAAGATGCAAAACCTACTTAATATCTTAAAATGGCAACACTACTGACACAAGCCTTATTTACTCTTAATTTTGTAAATTTAAATAATAAATTTCAATCAGCTATAAAAGAAGGCTAACAAATTAGTTAAAAAGCAATTAAAAGCTAAGCATGTAAAACCAAACCCTTTAAAGAAAAACTTTAAAGCAAATTAAATAAGTTAAAAAGTAAAAATGTTAAGCCCATTCTCAAAAAGTAGAAGAAAATTGTATGTGTTGTAAAAAAACATATGCATAAGAATGATTAAAGGTAGTCTTTGCTCAGCTAGTGAATAACTGTATTCAAAACAGTTTGCCACTCTGAAGTCCATAAACTTAACTTAAAAACTCAATTGCTAGATGTAAGCTGTTCTGCCTGTGACTTTAAGCATATGGTTAAAGTATATTATTTGTCTCTGCTTCCAGAGATGTTTTCTGATTTCTTTTTTTTCTTTTTCTTTTTTTTTTTTTTTTTTTTTTTTTTTTTTTTTTTTTTTTTTTTTTTTTTTTTTTTTTTTTTTGACAGAGTCTCACTCTGTCACCTAGGCTGGAATGCAGTGGCACGGTCTCGGCTCACTGCAACTCTCCCGGGTTCAAGCAATTCTCCTGCCTCAGCCTCCTGAGAAACTAGGATTACAGGCGTGTGTCACCACGCCCAGCTAATTTTTGTATTTTTAGTAGAGATGGGGTTCATTCACCATCTTGGCCAGGCTGGTCTCGAACTCCTGACCTTGTGATCCACCTGCCTTGGCCTCCCAAAGTGCTGGGATTACAGGTGTGAGCCACTGTGCCTGGCCCAGATTTCTTTTTAAAACTTCATGTTACCAATTTCAACTTGCCATCTTAATAATTAATGCAGTAGGCCGGGCGCACGGTGACTCACACCTGTAATCCTAGCACTTTGGGAGGCCAAGGTGCGTGGATCACCTGAGGTCAGGAGTTCAAGACCAGCCTGGCCATCATGGTGAAACTCCATCTTTAAAAAAAATAATAATAAAATTAATGCAGTAAATTGCTAAGTTAATCTTAGCGTCACCAAAATTCCTTTAAGAAAAGAGCAATTTAAAGCACTATTGCACTTCTCAATATCTGATACTTTAACATTGTTTGCTAATGGACCAGGTAAACAAGAAAAAAACTACAGTCTAATGAGACCACATAATTCAATCAAATTCAATCACCCAATCTAAGTTTACTAGCAGTCAAAAAAGCTGAAATTAAAGCTGTGATATTAGCATTAAAAAACTTTTTCTGCTCAGCCCATAAATATAGTAAGTAACTTGGCTTGCTCAGTTTATTTGCAACAAAATCTTAAAAGAGCTTTATTAAGTCTAATCTCAAGCCCAGCTAATGCCTGGGCCATTAGCTTATGGCGATAAGCAAGCAAAAGTAGTAACAACACTACTTAACCAAGACAGTCAAAAACAGAAAAATTAAAGAGAAAAATAGAAATATTAAGAAAGCTATAAAATTATACCCTTAGTAAAAAAGGTTATAAAACAAAGTTTACCATGTCTAAGTTTGTCAGTGAAAGTTACAAAAATGCTATAAAAGGAAATTTATGCAAGTAGGTTGTATAAATTTTGTTTTGAAGGTCTGAACAAGTTTTAAAACATTAATTGTAAAAAAATTCTGTGTGTAAACATATTGGTTAAAAGTTAAAAGTATCATCTAGTGTTCTGTAAACTATACATTAAAGCACACAGTTTTTTCTTAAAACACTAACCTGCTCTTTTACAAAGATTATAAAAGTCTCTTACATGTTACTGTTGATACTTTTTCTCATTTCATTTGGGCTACATGCCAAACCAAAGAAAGCACAGCTCATGTTAAAAACCATCTGTTATCTTGCTTTGCTATTATGGGCGTTCCACAAAAAATTAAAACAGACAATGGCCCTGGTTACAGCAGCAAATCTTTCCAAAACTTTCTGTTACGATAAAAAATTAGTCATACTACTGAAATTCCTTATAATTCACAAGAACAAGCTATTGTTAAAAAAGCTAATAGAATATAAAAAACATTTACAAAAAAAAAGGGGGAGGGGAACAGGGAATATAAAACTCCATAAATGAAATTTAACTTAGCATTACTAACTTAAAAATTTTTTAAGCTTGCCAAGGTGACAACAAATAACAGTGGCTAAACAATACCTGAATAAACAATCCAAAGAAAAGAACTTAGGGCAATTAATTTGGTGGCAAGACCCATTAACAAAAAGTTGGGAAAAAAGACAATACAATAACATGGGGGGAGAGGATTTGTTTGTCTCTCTTCAGGTCCAAATCAATAACCAGTGTGGGAACCATCAAACATTTAAAGCCTTATCATGAGCCGAGGTTATCACCATTACAGTGAGTACTCCTGAAGCTGGGGCAAAAAGTAAAAGAAAATTTTACATAATGGGCATATATTTCTTTCCTTCCTTTATTAACATATAATTTTTGGTCTTAGTATTTTTTATATAATTCAGGAAATAAAACAACTATGTTTTGCCCCCAAAACCTAAATGCAGACAAAATAGAATGGTCCTCAAAGGTAAAAATATTAATTTGGAAAAATTGTGTTTTGGCAGAGACTTAAGGTGCTGTACAATAATTCCCATGGAATTGTTATTAATTGGTCCCCTAAGGGGATATTTAGCATCAATTGCACCAGTCAGCCCTCTTGTCGTGGCACAAAATTATTTAAATGGTATACAAAAAGTAATAACAGTTTCAAGTTAATACACACTAAAACAAATGTCCCTATCATTTGGAGAAATGGAGGCAAGGTAAAACCACAACCAAAAATAATTTGGCCAAAATTGGAAATTAAACAAAAAAACTTTGGAAATTAATGGCCCTAAAACGAATAAAGATCTGAAAAAAAATTATACAAAATTCTGTTACAATCATTATTATTCCTTAAAACTTGTAATAAAACTCTTTGGAGTCAGAGCTGTGTTAAACCTCCTTATCTTTCAGTATTGAGAAGGTTACAAATCAATTTTCTTAACTCCAAGGTAACATCAAAATTGTAAATTGTTTTCTTGTATTAATGCTTCTGAACATCATTGGGAGATGATTAAGCGCCATCTACTGGGCAAAGAGAATAATTTAACTCTGGATATTGCTAAATTAAAGAAGCAAATTTTCGAAGCATCCCAGGCTCATCTTACCCTGTTGCCTGAAGCTAATATTCTTGCTGGGGCCGCTGATGGCCTCTCCAATATCAATCCTTTAAAATGAATCAAAACTACTGAAAAACAACCATTGCAAATTTTGCTTTGTGTCTGTTTATGCTGTTGGTTCTTAGTCTACATATGTTGGAGCCAACTTCGGAGAGAGACCCACCACCACAAATAAACAATAATAGCAATGGTGGTTTTAAAAAATAAAAAAGGGGCAAATGTTGGGGGAAGCAGCAATGGAGGAGGGGTTTACAGTGTGTCTACTTTAACTGGTTATAAGTAATGTATAAAAGATATCAGGAACAATAAACTGCAGAAGGCCTCGGAGGTCTCTGGGGAGGAAGGCCTGTCTATGTCAGCATGTTTCCAGGTGCAGAGTGTCCTAAGCTCTGATATTCTAAACATAGTGCCCAAGGACATAACACTCCCTTGAAGCACTGGAATGTAACCAGACATGTAGGCTCCTTGCTAAGCCTGCTCCCACCAGCTGCATTGTCTATTGATAAGCATATGCTTTTGGCTTGTGAGAAACTCACATAAACCGCCACTGCTATCAATTTTATGTTTGATG